TATTATAAATATATTTTTAGATATTTATAATTTTTTTTTTTTTTTAAGAAATTTTTAAATGTTTTATATATTATAATAATTTTTATCTATATATTATTTTAATTCCCAATAGAATATAAATAAATTATTAAATGTATAAATTATTTAATATATAAATATTTATATATTTATATATTAAAATTATATTTAAATTATTTTTTAATTTATTATATTACTTTATATAATAATATTATATTTTATTATATTATTTATTGTATTATATATTATATTATGTTTTATATTTATATTTTATATTTTATTATATTATTTATTTATATATAATATATTATAATTTATTATATTATTTTATATAATTTTTTTAAATTTTTTTTTTTGGTAAACTACGAGTTTTGTATAGTCGTCGTAAATGCTACGACTCTTCTTTTTTTTTTTTTCGAAACTGTGTTACCTATATCGATCGGGTATTATTCACATAAATTGACTTGGATAACGTTGATCTTAAGATGAAAGGAAGACTTAACGTGATAAAAAAAAAATCGAATCAGTAAGAGGTTTTTATATTTTTACGAAGTTATTCGCTAGTTATTAAAACAAGAGTATCGTTTTAATTCAAACCACTTTAGTTTTCCTATAAATATTCATAAATGCTTTTAAAATATTATTTGAAAAATATTTTCTTTAAATTAAAATCCCGAGATATCAAATTTTGATTTGTTCATTTTCTCTTGATTGTTCGTAAATATCAGAAATTATGTGTATATATTATTTGTTTTTATTGTAGCTTATCTTGAAGAAGATATAATATTTTTTCGCATTTCTAGTTTTCTTTTCCTTTTAGTTAGATGGTGAGAAAAATATCAACGACGAAAATCCTATTACTCAACTGTTTTTTAATAAAGATTTTACTATGACGTAAGTTATCGATAAAATATCTCATTGTCAGACTTATATTTCTAACGCAATTTATTCTATTCTTTGTAAAATGACAATTTACGTTTTGATCGTTTTCACAATCAATATTTATTATATTAAAAGAAAAATAAAAGTCATAATCTATGCTATATATATATATATATATATTTATATTCGCAATGTTTTTATTTTAGAATAAATAACTTTAAACGTTTGAAGTAATCGGAAACTTTGTTAGAAAATGTAAGTAAGTGTGTATACAGTTTGTGTATCGTAACACAACACACACATACACACAAACGAGTGGTTTATGTGTAAAACGTTGTGTGCAGAGTATAACGTTATCAAGTTAGAAATGTACATTTGAAAACACGAAAAAAGAAAGATAAAAAGAAAGATTCTCTTTTAAAGAACAAGTAGTTATATACATATATAATTTTAGATAAAATTTTATATAACCCACATATATGCGTTTGGTAAAAATTACCAGAGTGGTCTATCGACTCACATACGATTTTGTTAATATTAATGTAAAATAATGTGTAATATTTATATTACATTAATTTATTTTAATATTAATATATAAATATAATATAATAATATATAATATATATATATATAATATTATACCGCCATCTGTTAGAATTTTATCGAACTAACAGAGATAATCCTGACTCTTTGTTAATAAACAAATAATTCGCAATAAAATAATATTGCGATTATAAATTGAGATATAAACTATCCTATCTTTTAAGTTGGATGAAACTGCACACAGTGTGAAAAATTTTATTAAAATTGGTTCAGTAGTTTAGGAGTCCATTACGGACAAACAACGTGACACGTAATGTATATATATATTAAGATATTAATATAGAATATAATAATATTAATTAATAATATTAACAATATTAATTATATTAATGATAATATTAATTAAATTATATTCAGAAAGAAAAACTTTAATTATTAAATATAATTTATTATTAGAATCTGGTTAATAATAAATTATTCCTTTCTTACAAAACATTTTAGTTAAAAATATTCAGCACTGAAAGGGTTAATCATTTATTTCATAAAATATTTGACTAAAAGTAAAGATTTGATTGAAATTCTCAAGTTTTTTTTTTTTTCATTCGAAATAATATTATAAATTAATAATCATTATGATATATTAAAGGTTTCATTTATAAACATTATCACGTAGTAATTATATATCGTCGATGTTTCTGATAATCTCATGACGATCGGTTGATGTTCTTCCGAGAATGTATACGCATGTGTTCACAAAGATTGATCGTCCTTTCTGATGAGAATCTCAAAAGGGGATAATAGAGATTCTGTACGATGCGTTCAAGGACAAATGTACGATCTGATCTGATATTTCGATCACGTTGATCAGTAATATAATATAATATCAAGAAATGGATGTTTTGTTAAAGATAGAAAAATCAAAAAATTATTATCTAATATTTAATTAAAACAATCATATTAACACTTTAATGGCCACTCACACAACATGTGCGTGATAGCCGAAACAACCATTCTTTATTTATAATAATTATAATATTTATATCTAAAATTATATATAAAATTAAATTTGTTGTTAAATTGTTGCTTTTTGTTTTACGTTAATTTTTTGTCGTAAATGACAATAAAGTTTTTTTTAAATTAATTTTTCAAAAATATTACCACCGACCTCTGGCGAAGTTTGATTGCGTACACGTGCGGCCATATTAAAGTGTTAATATTTTAAATA